CGGTAGGCCCGGCACTGGCGTTGGCGATGGCGGCAGCGGGAGCGGGGGCGGGGCCGGGGGCGATGGCGGGGGCGGGGGCGGGGAGCCGTCCTGGCGGTAGCATATCCACCACCGCTACCACCACCACCAGCGGCAGCAGCAACGGCGGCAACGAGCTTCCAGCCGGTTTGGCCTTCGGCACGTACAGCTTTTGCTGAGGAGTGGATGCAGCCTGAGGGGGGTTGGTTGAGCATGCGGCGCAGGAGGGGGGAGGGGGCCGCGACGGCGCCGCGACCCTCCCCGCGGTAGTGGGTTGGTTGGTAGTTAGTTTGGAGGTTTCGGAGGATTTTCGTGTGCAGTTTCCTATGCTGCTGCGGGTGGGTGGTCGCGTTTTTGGGTGGGATACAGCTGGCAGGTCTGGCGGGTTTGTCTTATTGAGCCGTCGAGAGAAGGTGCGTGGTCGCAAAAAGAGAGTCTTCCCTTCCCTTCCTCTTGTCCTTCCGTTCGAATATGGGGGTGGTCGCCTTTTGGACCCTCTGGGCCGCCGCGGGGAGGGAGAGAGGGAGAGGGAGGGGGAGAGGGAGAGGGAGGGGGAGAGGGAGGGAGGGAGGGGGAGATTAAGAGTCAAGAAGCAGCAGCAGGAGGAGGAGGAGGTCTTGGAGGAAATAGTAAGATCTGTTGTGACCCCCAGCAGCATGTGACACAGCTGTAATACTCGACAGTAGCACAGGGGTTGTTTTCCGCCGTTGTTCGTCCCGTCCACACAAGACTAGACAGCAGCGGAGGCGAGACAGCTCCGCCACGTTGCTGCCTGTTTGTCTGTCCATCTATCTGCCTCTCTCTCTCTCTCTCTCCTCTAGCTGTGCGGATGTCGTCGCCGTCCGCTCCCCCCTTGCTGTGAGTGACACGGCGCATTGGAGAGAGAGAGCTGATAGGCGAACAGCGGCTGCGGTACCCCCCGCGGTGGACCCGGCGGTATCGGCGGAGGGAGTGCCGCTGGGGGTGCCGCTGGGTGTCCTACCTACCTGTACCTACCTCCGCCGTGGGGGTGGTGCTCTGGTGGCGGGGCAGTAGGTCACCCCCCCCCCCACCTGTGTGTATCATCTGCTGCCCTTCTACTGCCGCCGGTCTGCTTTCCTAACCACCAAAGTTCTCAATTCCAGGGTCGGACTCTCCTCCCTTTCAAATGGGGAGGGAAGCGCTGGGCGGGCGGGTGGGTGGGCGGGTGGGTGGGTGACCGCCTAGGAGCGCCGTCTCGGTGGGTGCGGCCAATGATCTCCTCAGAGCCTCCCGAGCCAGCCACGGGACCCGCCATCAGCGGGTTTGTTGTAGTGCAGGTGTTTGGATGATAAGGTATATGCTGGTGTGAGAATGTATGTATGTGTGTATGCGTGTTTGTTTTTTATGTGTGTAGGAGGAAGAGAGAGAGAGAGAGTGTGTTATGACTCGTCGGCCGCTTTCATGGTCTCATCCGTTTATGTCGCCCACTTTGTTACTACAGAAGCTGAGATGGGCGCGGCTAGTTGGGGGTGTGGGGGGGGACGGACATTTGTGTGGGTTGGGGGGGCGGCCGCACATTGTGGGTGGGCGCAGACAAAGCCAGGACGGCGGCGGCAGCGGCAGCGGCAGCCGAGTGAGGGTGCTCCTTCCGCCTGCTGATTGTTAAATACGCGAGCGCGCGCGCGCGTGTGTGTGTGTGTGTGTGTGTGTGTGTGTGTGTGTGTGTGTGTGTGTTACCTCAGCGCTCTGGCACGTTCCCAGACGGGGTGGGATGATCGTTATCCTAGTCAAGGAGTGTGGTGGCTGTGCCCTGTGTGGATCTTGTTCATCTCCCTCTCTCCCGCATCCTCTCTCCGGGGGAGTGCCTCCAATCACACAATGACAAAGCGCGTCGCGTGAAGCCGATACCAGTGGTATCATACCACCACCACCACCACCACCGGTACACTCCTCTCTAGTATCCACCATCCGCGAGATCCCCACCACCGCTGGGAGTTGAGGGGGGAAATGGATCATCATAATCATTACATTCATATCTGTAAGTAACGCATGCTTTTTGGGGTGAAGGGGAATATATGTAACATATAGTGGAACTTCTGGTTGGATTTTGGGTGGCCGGGCGCGGGTGTCGGATGGCGGTGAAAGAGAGGGAGCGTAGGCTACGCGGCGTGTAGCACCAACCGACATTGTTAACTTGGGCGGCATTGTCACACAAATTTCTGCCGTACCGTGCAGCTCCTCGAGCTCACGAAACAGGCATGATATACACGATTACAAACAGACTGGAGAGTTTGCATGCCAGTTATCCGAATCTTGCTTCTGCTATTTACAACTATCACCGGAGGCCATGTGAAGTATTTAAGAGCGTGCTTCCTTATTTCGCGGTTGGTCAATCCGCCATAACGGAAAGAGGAAGAAAGAGGCACCATAAAACTAATAATCATTGTCCAAATGGAAGAGCATGGGAAAGAAGTAGGAAGCTTGTCACCGCCAACCACTAGAACACGCGACAGCCAAGCCAGCCCTGCGGCCATACTGACGATTGCTTTAGCAAGTGGCATCGGATACTGTTCCTGGAAGTTATGGAAACGCTGGCAAGACGGGAAAAAGGACGAGCGCGACCTTCATCCCGCCGGGTCACCTCGCCAGGAGGTAAGGCCTGCCGGCGTACTTCGTCGCTTTCCCATTTTCAAAGCATGTTTCTTTCACCTTGTGCAAATCCCATGCTGCCCTGTGCATAACATTCCAGAATGCGACGAAGAGCAGGAGCAAGGGCAGCTCCTTTACCTTTGACAAGCAGCCCAAGTCCACCACAGCCAATGTCAGCAGCAGCAGCAGCACCACCACCAACAACAACAGCAACAACCGCAGACCCTCCAGGTATACTGGAATCTAGCTACCTGCGCCCTTCGGGGGTGTGAAAGGGGGTGGCCATGTGCAGCAGCCTGGCTGGCAGATAGACATGGACTGCCATTCGGGACGGGTCCAATGGCCGCAAGGAACACCGTCTTTGATTTGAGCCTAAGAGGATCCAAAACCCAAAAATCCTTCCCCCGGGGTCTCGCCGTAATCCCGTGGGAAGCCTCCGCCACCTCTTCGAGCCCTTCCTTCCCCCGCGTGCAAAGGGTAGGGCTTTGTGCTTCTCGCTCGTCATTCAACCAACGCCTCTCTCCGCCCACCCCAACCCCACCCCGCAAACCCCCGGTACATCTCGTTTTATACGCACTGTACAAGAGCACTACTGGTATACCCTTGCTGACGGCTAATTTAAATTTGTGCCGTGTGTGTGCATACGTATGTATGTATGTATGTTGTTACAGGGTGGTCAACTTCGCCAGCGGCCCCCTTTCCCGGGGCAGTCCCTGCTCTCCCCTGCTAGAGGGGCACCCTAATCCGTCACCCCATCCGACTTCAGAATGTATTCGTTGGGTTCGGCAACTCACCACCAGCATCCAATCAAATCTAGCGGATCAACGGCGCATCAACTTAGTTCCTGGTCGGCTCGCAAGTTGATATTATCACGTCCTACACCGTCCATAAGATGGGGGGCCACCTCCCATTTCATCACTCCTCAAACACCCGAGGAGCCGGCAGGCGGATTTGAACCCGGGTCGACTGGGTCGACTGGGAGCAGAAGTCAGGCCTTAACCTCTGCCAGCCGCCTGCCGTATGTATGTATGTACACATATACACACGCGCCTGCGCGCGCTTGCCCGCTACAGGCAAGACCAGAAGCCCAAATCCCAGAAGCAATTACGGAAGGAGGCGAAGCAAGCCAAGAAGGCGGCCCGCGAGCTGGCGTGAGTATTAGCCGGCTGGCTGGCTAGGCTGCCGGGGGGCTGGGGGGGGCTGGGGGCCCATGCAGTGGGGGGAAACGGCAGCAGCTGTTGCGATCGTGCCCGCTGTGCTCTCTACCCCTGTCTGTGTGTCTGTCTGTCTGTGGAGGACTTGAGACTGGGAAAACACAATACATACATACATACACACAAATTCTGTGCACAGCATTTCTGATGGAATTAGGCCCCGCGTCGTGCAGTCCTCCTCCCCCTCCCCCCTCCTCCTCCTCCTCCTCATCATCATTGTCATCACTGTCCCTCACTAGCCGCACCGGCATTACCATCCTGCCGCCTCCACTTCGGCTGCAGGTGGCAAACCACCACCTCCAGGGAAGTCGGGGCCCCCCGGCCGCCAGCTCCGTCCGAGCTGATCTGAGCCAGTATCACCCTTTGCACACACGCACACACGCGCGCCACCAACATTACATCACATCACCGTTTCTCCCCCCTAGCACCCGGGCCCATCCGCCCTCCACAGCACGAACACAGGAACGAATGTCTTCTTCCTTCACCTTTCCCGTTGTCGATATTGTTACATTACGTTTTATCGTTTGGCTGGAGGCCAGCGCGGTAAGCTAACCCAATGAATGTCCTGGCCTGTATGTATGTCTGTCCCTCTCGATAGCAGTGGGAAACGTAACCCCCATACACCAATACCATACACACACACATGCGCGCGGGCACGGAAACGCATGTCATTTTGATCGGCCTCTCCCACGCGACAACACCTTAGCGGCAAGTTAGCTCTTTTATGTGTGTGTATGTGTGTATGCGCCTGGTTTACTATTGCAGTACATACACACGCCTGTCTGCCTGTTTGTCTGTCCAACAGATCCCCGACATCCTGGCCCGTTAAGTTCTCAACGCTTCACCTCCCAGGCGCACTGCCCCCCACTCCCCACATACACTCCTCCCATTCCTCCGAAATTCCTCAAAATATCCTTATATACCACATCCTCTTCATTCCCCCATGCCGCTGTCAACATCACCCCATGAACTCACACCGTTATACGACAGTGCTCGGGATGCGGAGGGCGCCGCACTGGCGGCCACCATCGCCAAGCGTGCCAAGGACTTGGGGCTTGGGCAGCAACAGCAGCCGGAGCCGCAAAAACAGTACTACGTGGACTATGAGGGCGTCACGAAGGCGTACGACAAGATCGTGGAATGGCAGCAGACCGGCAAGAAGAAGTTCTGAGAAGAAGAAAGGAAGGAGGAGGAGAAGAAGAAGAAGAAACGTGTCGGTGATATATTTCCTCCTCAGCTGTTGGAATGCAATGGTTTCGGAGCGCTGCTCAATCCTTTGCTGTCCGTTGCTACTGGCGGGCGGGGGCGGGGGGATGGCGGCGGGGGAATGGAGAGCATCGCACGGGCGTGTCGTGTCGTGTTGTGCAGGTTGGTGTGCAGGTTGGTGGCCATCCCTCCACAGGTACCGTGGGGTGGCCAATCCTGCCTGTTGGTCTGTCTGAGCATCGTAATAGCTTCGTATATCTCTTCTAACGACCGGGCCCCCTGGACAACCAAAGCCACACAAAAGCCAGCACCCACATATCCACCGTCCCGTCACCGCGCACGTACCGTACCGTCCACGTTTTCTTTCTACCGCGTCATCGTCATCGTCATGGCGACCGGCCCCCCCCCTGCCGCCATCACGAAAAGCACGGGGGCTAAGAAAACCCCAAATAACCCGCATGGCACGATGGGTGTCAAGTGTGTGGCGGTGACCGGCGGCATCGGCATCAACGAGGGGACCGTTGTCATGAACACATTTCCATTTGTCGTACTTTTTTTCACCGGTACCCCTTTTGCTGAACGTCACTCAAGGCACAGCACAAGTCACAACGCAAACCAAAACCAAAAACTAGTCAAACAACTCCATATGACATGGTGTACATGATGGTGATGAGAGCCGCAATCAGCGGGCATCCTCATCTCGTCCTGGCGCAGACTGTTTGGTTGTTCCGTAAAAAATGACTGGTTCTCCGACCTAGTTCTCTAGATGCCCCGTGATGTAACGTGTGCACGGAAGAGGTGGCTGTGGAGAGGAGGGGAAGGAGGGGAATTACGTACTCGGATGCGCACCCAGCCGAGCACCACCACACATATATATGTATATGTACATATATCTTTTTCCTTCCATGACCGATCCCCCTTTTTTCTCTTTCTAATAACTCCTTCCCTCCGTTTTACCCGAGCTGTTTGTTTATAAAAAAAACCTGATCTATATACGCTTTATTGCTCTTCGTCGCAGCGGCGCCTCTGTGTGTATGTGTGTGTAAGTATGTATGTATGTGTATACGGTGCTGTGCGTGCTGTAGGTTCCGCGCGGCGGTGGTGCAGATCGTGCTGGTAGGGGTGGCGGTAACGGTAGTGGTGGGGTGCGGCGGAAGGTGCTCCAGGGGTAGGCAGCGCCCGGTTGCGGCGCCTCTGCGGGGGGGGGGGGCAGCTAGAAGCTGTCCATTGCGCCATCTGCCCATTTGTGCCATCAAGCCCTTGTTCTGGATCTGCCTGATGCTTGAAGTGCGTTGTTCAGTCCTCCTGCGGTGATGATGGTGATGATGATGGTGATGGTGATGATGATGATGATGATGATAATGACAAAGTTGAGGATGTTCACACGGCAGGTGCTGTCGGTGGTGATGGTGGTAGTGAGGCAAACGATATAGCAGACGCGATACTAAGTCATCGCGGTGTCCCCTGACACACACACACACACACACAGGCACACATACTTTCACCCGCACACCCGCACGCGCGCCTACCCGCGCCTTGCTGCCGAAGCCGTGCTGTTGACTAAGCTGGCTCTGAGGACAGCGGTGAGGACAGCGGTGGTGGTGGTCGTGGTGGTCGTGGTGGTGGTGGTCGTGGTGGTCGTGGTGGTGGTGAGGAGGAAGAGCCACAGGGTGGGGTGGGGTGGGGTGGGGTGGGGTGGGGGGACCGGATGAAAGGAAACACCATGCAGCAGCAGGAAACCGTTAGTCAAGCTGAGGTTATGTAGAGGCTTGGAGAGGAGATTTATACACATATAATATTATATACACGATATGTATATACACCATACATATATATACACGATAATGCACAACTTTCCACAACTTCATGCTGGGCGATGTCCCCCCACAACACAACATAGCTCTCAATAAATGAGTCCGGGCGGTGAACGCGGCGGCGCACACCGTTTCCCCCCCCCGGCCCTAGGGCGCAACGCCGGCAGGCAGGCAGGCAGGTGCAAAGCGCCTTTCAGAGCACTGCACTCTGCACCACCTGTGTGAGAGGAGAGAGGAGAGGAAGGGGGGTTGGGGGAGGGAACGCGCTGCGCTTTGCCCCCGCGACAGACAGACAGATGCGCAGCAAGCGTGCGTGCTGTTGCATGTGGTGGTGATGTGGATGTGAATGTGGATGTGGAGGTCCTCTGCCCATCATCCCACCTTGAGTGCCTGGATCTCGGCATGTGCTCGCCGCTTGGCATCCGCCTTGGCAGCTCTACGGTCCAGGTCAGAGGGGGCGGGGGAGGAAGGGGGATTCTGGGTCACGTGGGCTCAGTTCAGAGGCACGGAGGCTGTCCGTCCTCACATATGTTTCCCCAATACTCCTCCCACCCCCCCTACCCCACTCCCCCCCACACAGACACGGACACAATACAAAAGACACGGGGCTCCGAATCCGCCAAGGCCGTCCCGGAGACGTACGTCTTCCCTCGCTGCCTCAGCCCCGCGGGCCCCCCAGTGCTTTCACGTTTTACGAGTGTAACCCCCATATATATGTATATGTATATATACAGACACACACGCGTCACGGCAGAGTCCCACCGGTAGTTGATCACGTCAGTTCAACCCACCCCCACCCCCACTAGGTTTATTCGACCCTACCAACCCCCACCACCAACACAGCCTCAGTGACTCAGCCCCACCTGTTGAGTCCCATCAAGTCGCGAAACATCCCAATGGTGTGGAGGCTGGTGCACCACAACACCCACCAGCCTGGGGGGCGGGTAGGGGATCGAGTCGCACCCAGTCGGGCGAGTGCTCGGTGCACAGGCAGGTCGAGGCCAGGACGGGGCAGGAGGCTAGGAGAGAGAGGAGGGGTAGGGGGGTGCACCTGGGTAGAGGAGTCCTAGCAAACGAGAGTGCTGGGGTTGAAAACTACGGGAGAATGGAAGCGGGTTTGATGGGCTTCGGCGCGGGATGGGTGCGTTGCGGGGGGTTGGGGGGGTGTAAAGCTCGGACGCCGGGGCCCGCCCGCCCAGGTCGGACCGGGGGCGCGTGCGAGGTGCTGAGGGGAATGGAAAAAAGGAAGCTGAGGTAAAGGAGAGAGCGACCCCCCAAGAGTTGCGTTCGATCACGAAAAGCTATCACGTCGAGGACATGAAATGCATATGGTGATGTGCTGAGAGTGGGCTCACCGAAAGCTATGCTTCCCAGCACCGAGGCGGTTGCGGCAAGTAGGGCCAAGACCGCCACCAGCACATCCAAGGCTGTTCGCCGTGTCGGGTCGGCTTTACGTTCCGCATCTCCTTCAATAGCTCTCAGCCAGTTCTGTGCCAGATGCAGGGCGTTTTTAATCCCTGACACCGCGCTCACGGTGCCTGAGCACATTTCCCTCCTGTCACGCTGTCCCTAGAGCGCGCCTAATCCCATCTCTAAAGTAATTTTTGCATACGTAAAATGTGCAGATTGCTGTAAGAGCATATGCTTAGGGAATGCATGAGCTGTTGAACGAAACTCAAACGTCACAGATGTGCGTCCAAGGTGAAGCAGTGAACGATTGGAGCGGTACGGTATCCTTGAGGTTCAGATGCAATTGTGAGGAGTTAGACCGGGTGTCATTAACTGAGAATAAAAGGTCTTGACGTTTTCGGAGCAAGGTTCATGCATTGTTTCTGCATGGGTTTGTACCTGTACCCATGCCTGCTTTTTAAAAATGGATTTAGCCATATTTTGCTCGGTGCTGATTAATATGGGTTTGTAGCTTCTTCACGAAATGTTTGGTAGGGTTTGGTAAGAGACGGCTACACTTTAGCACGCACGTAGCAGGAGGTCACAAGGCCACAGCGTATGTCATCAAATTATATATTCATGGCCTTTCAATTGCTGCTCCTTAGGTATACGCGGCAAAGGCGGTAAACATAGAAAACCCGTTGGCAACGTTTGCGCCTCATAATCATCCAGCACCTCTCCCATTTTCACGTACACGCATCAATAGAATTATTCCTTGCTTTCCATGCGACAGAGAGAAATAATAAGCGGCCCTGCCAGTCGCTTCGCGTGGGCGTTCAACGACCCCGCGTTCAGCGACGTGCAGTTAGTACTTCGCACCACCAACGAGGATGCACATCCTGGCGGCAACATATCCGCAGTCGTTAGCCTTTATGACAATCGCCGACGGACTTGTAAATACGGATGCGACGAGCGCGACGCCAGCGGCAATTCCGCGCGTCGCGGCTGCGCCAGGGCATCCCCGGCAAACGGACAGAGTGCAGACGTATCTAATTTTACAGCATGCAGTTCTCCTGAAACTTCCCAGCCTGCGGCACGGCTAGGTAAGAGCGAAAGCGACTCTCACATCGAATATTGCAGGGCCGATGACCGTTGGTTCTCTGGCTGCAGGCGGCAAGGGATGCGCATCTCATCAACCAAGAACCGAAATCCGCATCCACGTAAGTGCTTACAGGAGAAGTTGCTTGCAGCACTTTTCACCAGCCATCCATTACCAGCCAGCGCCGCAGCCGCCCTGCCTTACACTTCCCTCCCCTCGCCTTCCCTCTCCTTTCCACTACCTTTTCCTTGTATTTACAACTTCAGTTGCAGACAAAGAATCTTACTTCCTCATATCATTGCTTATTCTCCGTCCTTCCGCCGCAGGCGCATTCAATTATCTTGGCGAGTTGCTCCGAGATGATGCGCTCCTGGCTAAGCCGCTGGAGCGACCGTCATTCCGACGATGAGGAGCCCGATGCGGACGGCGACGAGCTAGACACTTTCCCGCAGCTCGACTCTTCCGCCTCCCACCTGGTAGGCGTATAGGTTTTTTTTTACCAGACACAATGCAACGTGCAGAAGAAGAGGAATAAGTGCAGGGGAGTGGCACAGGGGAGGCGTGAGACGAGAGCGGAGGAGTGTGGCGAAGGGAGATGTGACATTCCTACGCCTACATGGAAGAGAATCGGGACGGGGTTACATCGTCATGATGGCGCCCCTTGTAGAGGGAAGGGGAGGGGAGGGGAGGGAAGGGGGGTTGGAGGGCGTTGAGGGGATCAGGGGCGGTTGGCAGATGTGGATTGGGTCCTCCCACAGGAGGAGGGGGAAGGAATCGGCGGCGGCGGCGGCCGGGGTGGGTGGGGTTGGGGCTCCTGGGGACCCATACATAACCCACATATACATACATATATACGTGCGTACGTATATACGTACAATACATACACGTAGGGGGCCCCTGGTGAAGCTTAACCACCCTGTAACAAAATACACGTGCACACGCAGGCCCGATTTCCTTTTCCTCCTTCCTGTCTCTCGCGGCTCGCAGCACACTTTTACCGCTCTTACCCCTCCGCCGTCTTTTACCCCTTCATTCTCCTGGTCCTACCTGTCTCATGCGACCTGTCTGTCGTACCTCGTACGACCAACTACCACGTGGTGGTTGATGCATCGTACAAATCATTACATGGCAGTCAAAGGAACGGCAACGGCGGCGGCGGCGACTGGCCCTCCGACTCGACGTTGAGCTGGCGGCCCATGAGCTGAAGGCAGGGGAGGCCGTCGTACGATTCATGTACACGCAGGTAAAGAATAGATCGGAAAATGTTGTGCGTGCCGTACTTATACCGTATACGGCACTCGGATTTTCCATTCCGCTTGACTGAAGTCTGTGTCCGTACTGCAACATTTCCACATTTCCATTTGCAGTCTCTCGACGGCGTGGAGGAGGATGAGGAGCTGCTGACGTGTATGCTGCTGGCGGACAGGTAAGCGGTCGCGTGTGCGTCTGTCTGTCTGTCTGTCTGTCTGTGTTATACCACGATTTTAAAGAAAAGTACCGATCAGCGGATGCAGATCCCGTGATATGCCCAGAAAATACAACAGTATGTCTGTGTGTATTCATGTGTATCTGTCTGTCAGTCTGTAGGTACGTATGTGCGGGGGGGGGAGAGTAACGAGCCTGGAGGTGTTTGGAGAGCTCTTGCGGTGACGAAGGCAGTCTGTCGTACGGAATAACCCACACATCAACAGTCGCACATTATTACCTCCCACATTGTTTACCCTCGTGTAAAAATTCCCCTTCTCCCCCTTAGTACAATTCCCCTCTCCTCCCTCCCTCCTCCCCCCCCTTCCCCCCGTCCTCCCCCGTCCTCCCCCCCTCCTCCCCCTCCCCCCCAGGTGGCTCCTCCCGGATTGCGTGTCCGCCTGCGCCGCCCGTCTGCAGGCCACCCCGGCCGGCAGTCTGTGCTGGCGGGTGCGGGCGGCGCTGCTGGCGCTGCCGCTGGGGCTGTCCGCCGCCAGCCCCCCCGTGGCGCAGCTGCAAGCCCGGGCTGAGGCCTCGTTGATGCGGGCGTTCAGGTGCCCGGCTGGGGGGAGGGGGAGGGGGGGGCGGGGTTGCAATGTCGGGTATGCGACTTGGGGGAAAGGCAGGGGGGAAGGATGGAAGAGTAAGTACATACATACATACATACATACATACATACATACATACATACATACATACATACATACATACATACATACGTACATACATACATACATACATACACGTATATAAGCATATAAACATAATGTACACGTACTAGACTGTTTTCCCCCCACCCCCGGTGGAGGGGGGTGTTGGTAGGGGGGTGGAGGGGGTTTGAGGGGCAGAACTGAGGGGTCTAAACCGCCGGTGGCGGGTCACCAACCGCATGTGTACGGCTCGCAGGTGTCCCGAGCTGATTTTGGAGGACGCGGATAACTGGCGGCTGCTGCTGTCACTGCCGGCGGACCGATTGAAGCAGCTGCTGCTGGAACGGCAGGACGTACAGGTACGAACGGCGTTCGTACATACACCCGAGTGTGGGGCCCCAGGGGTAGGTAGGTAGGTAGGTATGTACGTATCCTGTGCGCCAGAGAGGAATGACCCCATTTCCTGGATGCGATTTAAGAATGTATGTATGTAAGAATGTGTGTGTATGTATGAATGTATGTATGTGTGTATTGCGTATTTGTTGCGCTTCGGTGATGATGTGGGCTTCCTTCCCAGCGTCCTTTCGTCCACACGCACCCCCCGCCTTTCCACGCCCCCATCCCTGGCCCCCGCTACTTCCCGCCTCGTCCACATGCCCCAATACACACACACATACACACACACACCGCCCCTTTACCCTGCTCCCCTATTTCCTTTCGTCTTCTTTCTTTTTCAGGTGACCTCGGAAAATGTCGTACTTGCACTGCTGTCCGCGTGGCTGCAGCATAACTGCCCCAATATCGGCCGAGGCTGTAGCAGCTGCGGCGGTTGCGGCTGCAGCAGTAGCAACACCAACACTGGCAGCGGTGTCAGCAGTGCCTCGGCAGCCGCCGCAGTAGCAGCAACTGCCGAATGTGGTGGTAGTTGCAACGGTTGCGATACTTGCGGACGTTACAACGGAGCCGCCGCCGCCGCCGTAACGCACGACGACGCCGACGGCACGGAACCTCTAGCGTACGGTAGCTGCCGTACTTCCGGGTTACGGCATGACGAGCAGGAGACGCGTCAACACCCAAACAATGCCGCGGGAGGGGTCGCGGGGCATGGAGGGGGAGGTGGAGGTGGAGGTGGAAGGGGAGGTGGAGGGGGGCCTTATGAAGTGGGGCCGCCGGAGGTTGAGGCGTTACTTCAGCTGGTGCGGTACGGCGATCTGACTCACCATTATCGTACAACGGTGGCGCCTTGGCTTCCGGGGCTACGACACCTGGGGTGGGTGGTGGGGGTGGGGGGGTGAAGGCGGGCTATGGGTTCGTGGCGGTGACCGGGTGACGGGATCGCGGACGGGCAACTTGCCGCCGTACACTCTTCCAGTCTGCGTGTGAGTGTGTGTATGGGTGTGTATGAGGTGTGTGAGGGGGAGGTTCTCTTTGACGCGCGCATTCGTCCGTACTCGTGACGATGAGGATGATAGCAAGTGTGTATGTACGGCATATACGGCACTGCCATTTTTGATCACATGTTTCCACAGTCCCGTGCTTACGCCCTTATCGTCTCTCTCTCTCTCTCACACACACATACACACCGTCACCCTCTCACCCACCGATTTATCGGCAGTTCTCCGCCCGTCAATCCAAAACCTCTGAAACCCGCTCCGGGACCACCCCCACCTCCTCCTCAGGCTCCACCACACGCTGCTGGCGGAGGCGTCAGCTGCTGCCGCCGCCGCCGCCGCCGCCGCTAGCTCTCCCCCCGTCGGAGGCCGATCTTCAACCGGGAGCCCCGCCCCCACTCGCCCAGGATGTACGGCAACCGTGGCTCAGTCGCCGGAGGAGCTATCCGTGTCGCCGTCTGTCGTACATTCGCCGCTGCTACAGCCGCCAGCACCGCAGCTGCAGCGGTGCTATTGCGAGAATACGGGTTTGTACACGTCATCCTTGTCCCGTACAAGTTCTCTCGAAAGCGGGGGTGATGGCGGTAGCAGCAGTAGCGGCGGCGGCGGCATGATGGCGGCGGCGGCGGCCTTGACGCCGGGCGAAGCGTCACCTTCGGTGGTTCTCAGCCGCGCCGGCAGCGGTGCCGCCGCCGCCGCCGCTACTGCCGCTGCTGCTAGCCCGTCCAGCCGCGAGGTTGTGGACAGCGTTAGCGTCATTGGGTTCCAAAAGGCGGGAGGCTGTAGCAGCAGCATCAGGGCCTGCAGCAGCGGTAGCGGCAGTAGCACCACCGCTCGCACACCGCTGGATAGCGCCGCTGCCGTCAGCGGAGGCTGTGCTGCCGCCGCGGCGATGGCTGCAGCGGCGCCGACGGCGCCGGCCGATCCCACGGCGGCGCCGGTGGCGGTGCAGGCTGATGTCGGGTCGGGGTGTAGAGGGCTGGCGGCGCCGCCGCCGACGGCGGAAAAGCTGGTAACTGCGGCGATTTCAGCCATTCCCCTTCCCCGGCTTCCGCGCCGATTGCCGTACACCACGTCCCGACGTATCGAATGGGTTCGTGATGTACGAGACGTACGACTTCACCTAACAGGTGGGAATGCACGACATGAGAAGAAGAATGGATACAATAACTGGAATGGAGGATGTGGCCGAAAGCGCCCCTGCCGACAAGGGCACGTGGGAGGAACGCGAAGAGGGGTTGGGTGTCATGTCATATTTTGGTGTCTGCCGGGGGACGGGGAGACATGGTGTGTGTGTGTGTATAGGGGGTGTATCTATGTATGTATGTGTGTAAGGGGATGTCTTAACTGGGGAAGATGTGTGTTGAGTGCCCAGATGGGTTGTACGGCACTCCCCTGTACTGCTCCCCCTTCCCATTATGACTATTTGACAATCCTTAGAATGTAGATCATCCTCTCCACTCGGCGTTACTAAGTAGGTGCTCTTTAGTTCACTGAAATCAAAAACAAGATCTCGAAAGGAGAAAACGCATCAACGATCAAACATTAACACGGGGCGCTGTACGGCATGTGTTGCATGTGTTCTCCACTCGCACCCCCCGCTTCGCAACCCTACACTCTTGCCGTCCCAACTTATCAACACAACTGTACTGTACGGTACGTATTGTTTACGGTACGACAATGGCATGCCGTACAGGTGTCGGCGGACCTCAATTTGGCTCCGAAACCGCCTCCAGCCCGCTGTTGAGCTCCCCCGTGTTCCTGGGAGGCTACTGCTGGTACCTGGGCACTCGGTTCGTACCCGCCAATGTAGCGGCGGCGGCGGCGGCGCCCGGCGGCGCCGCCGCCGGGGGTGCTAGCGGAGGACCTGCCCGCGTACCGGTCCCCGTGCCTCCCCCCTCCTCCTCCTCCTCTTCCCCCTCTTCTTGCGCTACTGCCGCAGCCGCTGCCGGGTCTTTTCCCAACGGCAGTAGCAGTCGCACAGCTACAGCGGCGGGTCGGCTGCAGCTGCAGCTCGGTCTTGTGTGCACGGCCACCACAACTGGGGCGGCGACGGCGGCGGCGACGGAGGAGGAGGAGGAGGACGGACCGCCGGGCAGCAACGTCAGCGGCGGTATACGACAGCCGCCGCGGTTATTACAGTCTGCGGGAGGCGGCGGCGGCGGCGGCGGAGGGGAAGGTGGCCAGGCGCTTCACATCGCCAGCTGCACTGTCGGGCTCCTAGACGCTGCCGGGCGCCCCGCCTGGCAGGTCGTACAAACACCGTGTCTATTGATGCCGGGTGGGGGGTTGGGGGCGGCAGTAGCAGCGGAGGCAGGGTCGAATAAGGCCGTTCGCAGTAGCAGTGGGAGGGTCTCGAAGTCGGTTGGTGGTTGTGGTCGTTGGGAGTTTTGGAGTAGTTTGAGCGGTTTGGAGTCCACTTGGTGGGAGAGCGGCAGCGCGCTGACGGCGGGAGGCGTACTGCGAGTGTACGGCACTCTAACGCTACAGGCGTGATGATGAATGATCACGTTAAGTGACATTGGACTTCGGAGCCCCCCGGGGGGTTTTGCTGACTTGGGAGAGCCTGGTGGCGAGAAAACGCTTACCGACGGTTCTACGGTACTACATGCAGACGTACAGACAGCGACGAATTGGCAGGCCAATTCAACTTGCTGACTAATATATACGACTGTACGGCAAAGCAGAATATGGCTAAAAATGGTTTTTCGACGGCGTTTCGAGGGCGAGTTGAGTGCTTTTGAGGGCTGAATGACACTGGACAATACACCGGAGGGGGCGAAGAGAGGAGTGAACCGAGTGTGGTGTTGAAAGAGGTGCAAGTGTGTATGTGTGTGTGTATGTGTGCTTGTAGGATGTACAACAGTGAGTGTGGGGCTGTGGCAAGGGTGCCGTACACTCTCCCCCCCCCCGCAGCCTCCATAATGTGCTGGTGTGTGTTTTGTGTGTTGTGGTGTGTGTGTACATATATCCAGTAGATTCATGTGCGGGCTTCTTGAGTGTGACGGAGTGCAGTACAGTACGAGTGCAGTACAATATGGCATTGCCGTCTATTATGAAGAGTGCAGTGCTGGGCTGTATAGTACTCTCCTTTGGTGTACATGTATACAGATGCAAAGGTTGCAGGGCGAGTGGTGGTGGTGGTGGTGAGGAGGAGGAGGAGGAGAAGAAGAAATGAGCGGGCCATGACGGTGTTGCTCCGCACCTGGTCGGGTGCGAGGGGCGAAGATGCTGTTCATAATCATAACGATGATGATGATGATGATGATGGTTGTGATGGTAGTGGTGGTGATGGTGATGGTGATGATGGTGATGATGATGATGATGATGATGACGACGACGGAAGGGGCGAGGAAGCGAGATAAGGGCGGGCGCTGAAGTGGCGGAGTGGCTGAAGTGGCGGAGTGAGTGAGACTGTATGGCTCTGTTGGGCTCTGTCCGGCGAGGTGAGTGAGGGAGTAGTAGTAGAAGGTATGTATGTATGTATTCGTCCTTCGTGCTGTGCTTTACCCTTCCCGCCCCTATCGATTTAGCCGATTTCTTGGAGTTCGGTTTGAGTACACCGACCCGCGGGTCTGTCCATGCGTTCTCGCCTTTTCTTTTCTGAGGTGTACATGTGGGGGATGCCGATTTCATCTGGAAACGTAACTTAGGGCCTCTGGAAGGGTGTAATGAAGCATGTCGTGCCTTGCAGATTGTTGGAGTGTACGGGAATGTGCTGGAATATACGATGTTGGCACTTACTCGTTACCGTGTCGTACATGCTCGCAAATCGAATGGTAGCAATCTTCGCTTTTCTTTCTTCTGTCCTGTGTCGTTTTTCCCTCTCGGTCCGACCTGGCAGGGGGAGAAGTACGGCTGTGTTTGTTCCAAGGGGGAAAAAGGGATGGAAAGCTTCCAAGAAAGCAAAAAGCTTTTAAACCTTCCTGGTTTATCTTAGTCAAGGGAAGAAGTACGGCAGAGTTAGACGTGTGTAGGGAATGGAAATGGGAATCCTTCGGTGTTCGCTATCTGTCGCACCGGACCCGTACAGGGTGCTGTACATTGCCGTGCTGCCGTACTCGAGTGACAGAGGGCTGGCGATGACGCGCCGTGGTGAGTGCGTGAGCGGGGCAAGGTGGGGCAGCAGGTTAGCAGGCTGGATGCCGTTGCGGGGATTCCCGCGGGGGGGGGATGTGAAACGATCCGGGAGATTGGAAGATGGCTTTGAGGAGAGTGTGTGTGCGTGGTGTGTGTGAGTGCGCGCGTGTGTGTGTATGCGGTATGGTACGGCAAGATGAAGCTCAGGCGGCCTGAGGCCTGTACGTCCCCTTGAAGGTTTCGGGAAGCCCGGAAACTTCGGCCGACGCGCGCGCATGTACATTTGCATGTATGTAGGTATGTAGGTATATGTGTGTGTATGTGTGTGGAAGAGCGATGGCATCGTGAAGAGTTGGAGTGAAGAAAGTTTAATGAAGCAAAATATGAAGTAGAGCGGGGTAAAGGAGCGCGGGGTAAAGGAGAGAGGAGTGTCTTTTGCTTTTTTTGTGTGTATGTATGTATGGTGGGGAAAGCGGTGGGATCGCGTCCGTCCGCGGGTGCGTCGTACACTCGCATGTCGACAGCTGTCCTGGATACGACATTACTTGATCCGTTTTTCGCTCTTCGAAGGAAAATATTAATTCATTTTTGAAGCTGGCTCGATGCGCAAGGGTCTTTTCTGTATTCGTGTGTTCGTACTTTTCTCCACATGTGTGTATGTATGTGTGTGTGTGTGTTCATCTCTCCTGCGTCCGTGTCTTGTCTTCTGTGCGTTACTTTCCCCTTTCAACTGCATTTGACTGACTGACTGACTGACTGACTGGGTGGAAGTACCGATACCGCCGTGGGATACCTAGTGACCATGGCCATGCGGCGGACTCGGCTTCACGGAAGGTGTTGGGCCGCGTACACGGTACGAGCTGAGGAGCCGTAATCAGTTGCGCAAGGTACCGCGACCCAAATCACCTCACGTGTTGAGGCGTCTGTTTTTCGAAGGATACCGCGTATTGAGCAAAACACACACACACACACAAACGCACACACACGACCGTTTGGTTTTGGCAGAAACCAAAAACCTTCCTTCTTGGCAAAAGGAAAGAAATTCTGATCGCGTTGGCAACCTTGTTTGTATGTACCTGCGTATGTACGTATGTTTGCTTTCGAGACTGCTAGAATGAAGAGGAGAGGGAAACAGTTGTCGTACATAGTCGTACATCGTACCAGGCGAGAGAGGGACAAGAATGTCCTGCAAGGGTTTCGGAGAGTGGGGTGGGGTAGGGGGTTGGGGGGGCCGCGCTGTGAGAGATGTGGCTGTGGGGTGTGATATATGCGTGTTTTTGTGTATTTTTGTGTAATGTACGGCGCGTCGTGGGGCGGTCTGTACCACAATTTGACTTACGATGACTTGTACAACATCTTGGTTTACGGCGTTTATGTGCGCAGCTAGACCGGTCATCAGAGTGGGGGGGTGATGGCGGTGGTTGCGCACCGCACCTGCACTGGTGATTTGTGATTTTGTGTGACCGTCCGCCTGTCACAGCTAATTTGTGTATCTGTTGCAAGCTCTGCTCCGAAAGAAGCGGCATATGCGCGTGTGTATGTATGTATGTATGTATGTATGTATGTATGTATGTATGTATGTATGTATGTATGTATGTATTTTTCACGCCGCCGCCGTCGCGCCGACGATTCAATGATCTCGATGGTGCCGTTACGGCGGTCCCCCGGCGGGTCCCTAATCAAGTTTCGTGGCCGTGCACCTGCCAAAGTGCTTTGACTGCCAATCACGGTGAAAACCTTGACGGGATGACGGGTTTTATTTTACGCCTTCCATCCCCCCAATTTCCCCCCCGGGGGGAAGAGCGGAGCTAGCGGACCTGCGGCTCTCGGCTGCTTAGGAGGAGGGGACAGAGGCCCCCCCTCACGCCCCTCTCCCGTCCGCGGGAAAGAGCTTAGGCGGTCTTTCCGTCTTAGGCCCGCTCTTAGCCCCGGTCACATACTAGTAACCTTGACATATATACATACATACATCCATACATACATACACACATACACATCTTCCCTCCCATCTACACCTTCACAAATTCAGCTAATTCCTCCTCTCTACTTTATTACTGGGCTACCGTGTCTTATTGTAAAATTGTCAGCATGCGACTTTTCCAACCTGTGCGACCATGACCTCCCCCGGCCTGTACGACCATGACCTCCCGCGGCCTGTACGACCATGACCTCCCGCGGCCTGTACGACCATGACCTCCCACGGCTCACAACATGCAGACGCTGGTCAATCTGCACATTATGCAGCGTCTGTGGTGTACGGCACTCCACCCCTTCCCGGACCCCATGCCCCAAACAACCCCCGTATGTCTGTCTGTCTGTCTGTCTGTCCAGAAACCGGTCTGGTTTCTTGATCCGGTGCACATCCAAGTGCATGTGCAGCCAACGTGCTTTGCAAGAAACGGCAGCAAGCTCGATGCTGTTTCAGCTATTACAGTACGTGGCTTTAAGGAAGACGGGAAGAGATGGCGGGAGGCGAAAGTTGGGGGAATTGACGAAATATTCAAATCGCGCCAGGGGACGGCGTTTGCGAAGGCGGACGGGGTAGGGAAGAAAGAACACCGCTCATTTCAAAATTTGAAGGAGGCGTAAGAGAGCGATCTAACAGGGCTGCGATGCTTTGTTGCCGTGCGAGGTTTTTCTCTTATTCAGATGGGAAGTGACACACAGGGGTGCGATGGCTGTGTGCTCGTCTAGGGTGTCGGTTAGTTGCAACTCAAAGACGTTCAAAATTCAAACAGTTAGCGCCGAACTTGCCATTTGACAAGGCGTAAACGGTAGAGACAAAACGAAACGTCGCGCTTGGACGATGAAACGCCGCGCGCGAGTGGATTTGTGCACTTTCTTTGCTTTTGTGCGGGAAACGGCCCGACGGACACCGCCGCTTACCGCTAACCTGCGCAAGAGACCGGAATGGGCGGTGCATACAGGTTCTGCGAATACGTTGTGCAGGGTTGCAAGGCGCCTGCGCCGGCCCGCCTTCCACATAAACGCAGTTGTGCAGTGAAATCTACGGGCTACTCGACCCAACGGTTCGGAAAACCTCATCCGCCTTTCTTGCAATTCGGAAAAAGAAATCAATGTCATGAAAGCTCTCTGTTTGTTATAAACCAACCCATCAGCCGCTTGCGGTTTTGTCGTGGGTTACCTCGCAATCGCAGTGCAGTTGATCCGAAGCAAGCGGCTACCACAAACGCAACCGCGCACGGCAATACGTCAGAAATAGGCCACGAACTAGAAATCCTTACCAAACAAAATAACCCAAGGAAACGCGTTGCAAGCTGGTGCGCGGGAAAATGTGAGATGTTATGCGTCGGCGCTGCGCACTTTCAAGACTGTTGATTGCTGGGTGGAAGCCGTGGGGAAAGAGATGCAGCGAAAAATTGCAGCTAAAACATTAGACCTCTGAACCGGTTGTCAAACTTAGGATCAAGCCCCAACCCATTACCTCCTTGCTCCGAATCCATCACTATCGCCACCATTACACACCAGCAGGCGCTAAAAGCCCGTGGTAGTCCGTTTGGCTAAATTATCTATTCATCCTCCTATGGTCGAATTTCTCCGCGTTCCTAGGACAAAGTCTGCTCTCTTAACGTAACGGCGCAACCCCAACCCCACCTCGAACCCAAATGCTCCGCGACAAAGACCCAACCCGGAATCCCGCCCCAGCACGTCCAGCAGCACCGCAAAACCATCGTAGCAGAGTTAATGGTAAAAGTAAAGGAGACTTGGCGATGTGCTGTAGCGCTTCAGCTCATGGGAAAGTGCGCCAATGATGTGTGTCTGCGCGCCACAATATGTAAAATGATGCATCGTACAGAGTTGGTTAATTTCAGCCTCGGCGTGTTGCGCCACGGAACACCGAAGGAAGGAGTTGTGCGCCGCGTGGCAATGGCATTGTTGCTGGAAGACAGCGGTTGCAGTGGTGTACGGCGGCTGCAATGGCGTACGGCAGTGGCATTGTTGCGTGGAAGAGGGGCCGTAGAGACGTAACCCCGGATCCCGGTCTGCGCAGGAAGGAAGACGTGAAGAAACTGAAGAGAGAGAGAGAGAGAGAGAGAAACAGAGAGGAAGGGGATGGGAAACATGAACACCCAGCCACACAACATGAGTTTCCCAGCCAGCTGGAAATCAATCCAGCCCCGAAACCAATCCTCCATCTCCGTACCTTCGTGGGAGCTGAGAGCGTGTCTTTCTCCCTTTCTCCCCCCCCCCATCCCAGCCTTCCCAGCTTCCCCTTTCCTTCCCCGGCAGGGTCACGGGGTCCCCTTTCGATCGGGCCTAGGCTACCCCTCGGCAGAACCCCCTACCCCCCTGGTCCACTACCCCCACCGCGATTAATCACACACCGCGCAAGCCATGCACCCGCAAATCGGACCCCGCGCCTTCAGCTCCCCCTGGATCATTTGGGTCGCCCGATGTGGTGGCGCTAGGACGCCTGGGCGCTACGCCTCCATGCGCGGAGTGCTTTGTTGGGAGACGTGGAGTTGTGGATGATGGACTAGGGGGATGCTTCAGCGGTGGACGCGGGGTGGAGGAGGAAACTGTGAACAGTGGGGAAAGCGGCGTGTGCGCGCGCGCGGTGGGGGGCGCGCGGGGGCATTAGGCCCTCGAAGGGGGAACCCCCGAGGGGGGTATTTCGACCGCAAGGGGGGAATTGCCGCCCCTTGCCGTTCTTTTAATCCCTGTTTCTTCCCGAATAAAGTAATGTATGGCTTATGAGGTAGGAAGTCTTCTTCTTGGTGTTAACTGAATCTGCCGTACTCTTTATCCTCTCCTTTCCCCCCTCAACCAGATTGCTTTTTTCGCCATAGCGTAGTTGCCAAGGCGCCGGCCGTTCCCTTCACAACTCGGCTTGGGACCTGAGACCTGGCGCAATGCCCGCGGTTTGCCCACGGACATGTCGCGGCGGATAAAAGAGATGCCGCTGTCGCCGTTGTCCATCTTAAGATTTAAAGGTTGCCAGACTGCCGCAACGAAGGGGTCGATCTGGAGATATGACGGAGTGCGCAGCTGGAGAACTGACGATGGGATCACGGATGCCGCGAGGCGGCGAGAGGCATGAGCAAAATTTCTGTTCAAATAGCTGCTCCACTGCAGTGGCATAAAGACGTCCACCCAGTAAAATGCGCGTTGGCATGGTCGGTAAAGGGTTGAGCGAGTGCTAAAGCTATGGGGGGGGAAATCCACGGTGCATGAGCGAGAGTGATGACGCGCTCGCGGGGTCCGCTTACGTGTAAGCGGTTGACTCGAAAGGCAGTAACGGTGGGTTCGAGGTTGACCCGAAAGGGCAATGCTCATGAGCACACCATGTCCTTGGTCCCGTTTATTAATGGTTGGCGTTGCCCGTCCGCGTGCCAAGGCGGCCATCCATTCCGACACACGCAGGACCGAAAGACTCTCCCCAGCGTCTGGGCCCATCGCAAGCCATGGCGTGAGTTTCTTTGTGGTCTGACATTGACCGTCAGCCGTGCTGCGGTCCAGGGTCCGCAATCTCAAAACCCGTGCTATGACGACGCTATTTACCTATGCGGCCGCGGCATACCGCCGCTAAAGTTTCACCAATTATCCATGGACCGAAGGCTTTCCAAAATGTCATCTTAATACCGTTAAGGCATCGTGCAACGTGTTGAGCTTTCGCCATGCTACGTCTCAATAAGTTCCCTCTCTGTTTCTTGCAGGGAGGTTGCTAAATAGGGCAGGTATGTACTATAAGGAATGATATTATAAGTGCATTTGTGCAGCGCGGCGTCATGATTCTAGATCGCTGCATCAAAGGACACACCTATAGCCCACACACAAACGCTGACCCCGCAATATATGTTTTTTCCGCACAATCGTTACATACGCAAATTACGAAAATGCACAAGGCATGGCTTCATATCCCAAACGCTCACGAGGCCTGGTGACCGAGGTACTGTAGCTGTTCCCTTGCCCACGGAGCTTCAGCGAGAAGAACATTGCAGTAAACGTGTCTTCTGTGTTATCCAGGTCCTTTGTAGCCCTGGGGAACACGAGACCCTTCGACCGGTATCCGCTGTCCCACTAGAGCAACAGCGTTTGGTCTTTGGCCTTTCCTCATCTACAGTTACACCCTATAGCGGGCAGGACCCATTCTGTGCGGAGCTACAAGCTACGCAGGTATGGAGTTCCGCGCAGGTTCCTTTGTGTGGCGTTCGACTTGTGGCCGTGCCTGTAACACATACCCTTCTGTTGTTACTCAGGCCATTATCTATCAGGATACGCGTGCGGTTGGCCGGCTGGTTAAACCAAGGGTCTTAGTGGATTCGCCGGGAGAACTTGCGCCGGTTTCGCTTGTGTCCCTCATTTTTGATTACTGGCAGCCGGCATCTTTGGAGCGGAAGCAGGAAGCGGTGCAGCATTTGAGGATACCTCTGGATTCGCGCTATTGCAACACGTCAGTGTTCTCCATCCGCGCGATCGTCACCGGTTGGCCGGGCGGCGCCGTTGCCTTACCCGGTCGTCACGAGTGGTCTGGCAGCAAGACGGCTGCGGCCGTGAATCAGCACCAGCAGAGGCTTGATTACATACGCACTCAGCAAAAGCTCTTCACCGAGGGTGAGGGCAAGGACAGCCCGAACCGCCACCTGCTTGCGCGCAGTGACGCGGAATACACAATTGATACAGGTATTCATGGGATTGCCAGGCTTGTTTCTCTAAAAGTCGTTGGGCCGCTCTTCTCGCTTGGCCTTTGTCGTTGGCACAAGAAGTTTGCGTCTGCTGAGAAATGGACTGGACTTTAACAGACAGGAAAATCAGCTGTTGGACGGTTGTGCTTGTGTGCAGGGCCGGAGTGGGAGGCGTCGTCGTTGTCCTTGACGTTTAACACCGCGGCAGAGCTTCCTTGGCTGCAGCGCATCATTCTGAAGCTGCTGGTGATCCGGAAGGCACCGGTTGATGACAAGGGAGGCCCGATCGGCGACACCAGTGCAGAGGTCACCGTTAGCAGCTCCAGCGTTGGCGCGTCGGCGGGGCTTGTGGTAGATATGGCCAGCGCATTGCCCCAGCCAGTGCCGCAAGGGCACTCCGGACGGCAAAGTACAGGGGAAAGTGTAAAGCAGCCTGCAGACGACAGGCTGCCGCAGGCGCAGCAGCCAGAAGCTGGATCGTCGTCACCATCGCCGGCGGGAAGCTATGCGTCTGACGCGGACGTCGAGTGCATCGGCTCCGTCACACCAGTCAACGACACCCGAACCAAGCCTGATGCCGGCTTGTCACCGTCTCTCGCATCGCTGGCGAGCTCGGGTACGGGTCACGAAGCCTGACGGTGGAAGGTGGACGGCCATTAGGGTTTGCGACGGTTGGATGATCTGAACCAAGCCATTGCACATTGCACATCGCATTGGAACCCCTGCCCTGCCTGTATGGCTTGCGTTGTCGGCATTTTTGATTGTGGCTTTTGATTTGGGTTGGCTGAGAAAGATGTCCGTTCCGGTCCGGTCTCGGTGTGTGTGCGTCCCGCGCGCAGGGGGAGTTGCTGAGAGTTGTCGGAGAGGGGCAGCAGCACCCCCGCCGTCCATGCGCGCAGCCGGCTGTGGCACGGGGGATCCCCATGGCGGCAGTATCGGCCGCAGAGAGGAAGAGGGCGCACCGCACTGCCATCCAAGCAACGGACAGGGAACGGCGGGTACCGGGACTGGTGACAGGGCCAGCAGCGGCGGCGGCGGCGGTGGTGGTGGTGGTGGTGGTGGCGACCAAGGGGAACCGGGAGGAGGACAGGAGGTGTGGGAGCGCGGGCAGGAAGGATCCCCGGGCGTGAACCCCCTAAACAACAATCGTAAACAAAAGGAGGTGCGAGGCGCGGGGGTAGCTGAAGCGGGGACGAACGGGATGGAAATAACCCAGCAGCCAGTGATTGCCTCCAGCAGCCACTACGGTGATCGCGACGCGGCCGCGTCACTGCAGGATGCGAGCAGCAGGAGTACAACCATGGACACCGCAGACATGAGCTCGGATGCGGCCGACGAGGCGCAGAATGGCGTGGCGGAGTCGAAGCCGACTATCAAGTTGATACCTAACTGTACAAGGCTCACCTGCGGGGGAGAGGAGTGTGTGTCGTCGCAGCCCAGTATTGTTCATCTGCAGTCGACGGACTCTGCTCACGCAGCGCAAGCTCAGCGTACCTGCAGCGCCAGGGTCAATGCGACCAGCGGGGGCGTTCCTAGGACCGAAGGCGACGATGCAGTCGCTGAGGCACGCTCGTGTGTAAGCCGATGTTGTAGTCGGTGGGAAAGCTCAGCACAGGGGATAGCCGAGCAGAACGAGTACAGCCAAGCAGCTGAGAGTCTAGCACGTGCAACGGGCTGTGATAAGGCACCCGAGCCGTCCACAGTGTTCACGGAGGATATCGATGGGAGAGGAGAGGCATTCGGTGTCGCACCGACGAGTCGTCCGAGGTCTGAAGCTGATGCAGCAGAGATAGTGGAGTGCACGCCAGTAACTCCAGTTCACTCGGGGAAGGCGGCGGCAATGGTAGCTGCAGGGAAAGCAACGTCACACGCTGTTGGGCTAGTGCGGAAGGCGGTGATGGGTCCTACACCGGACGGCGGCGCGTCGGGTGGTAGCTGCGTTCCCGTTGCCCAGCCGGTACCGTTGTCTCAAGCTGCTTTCAACGCATCGCTGGCTGCATTACAACCGCCGCCGCCACCGCCAGTGCCGGCATCCTCGCAACAGCAGCAGCAACAACAACAACAACAGCGGCCTTATCCCAATGGTACCACCTGGCCGCAGCAGCCCTACACAAAGGTGGGCGCAGCACACAGCGCGGAGCAACAACAGCAGCAGCAACAGCAGCAGCAGCAACAACAACAAACGCACACGCACCCCTTGGGTGCAGCTGCCGTACCCTCCCACATGTTGCACTTGGCTCACGCACCTCCTCACCATGGGGCACATGGCCATGGTGCGTTGCCAAACGGAAAGCTGCGGAACGGCGAGGTATCCGTCGACCCTGCGCAGTGGGTCCAGCAGCTACTGCCGGCCCTGGGCGCTTATGCACAAGGGCAAGGCGGATCTGGGTCGGGGACGCCGCCCCCTGGTTCACAGCCTTTGCATGCGCAGCCTGCTGTACAGCCGTACCCTTTGCTGGCAGCAACGCTGCAAAATCTGGTGCTAGCGCAGCAAAACGGGACGTTGCAGCTCCAGCACCAAGGCTCCCCGCTTCTAGGGCAGCACTTGCAATCGGGGATGGGCGTTTTCGGGCTGTCACAGCAGCAGCAGCAGCAGCAGCAGGCACAGCAGACACAGCAGCAGCAGCTGCTGATGCAACAGTTCTTCCAGCAGCAGCTAATGCACCACGCTGCAGTTGCTGCGCATCAGCAGGCACAGCAACACCAGCAGGTGGCAGCAGCCCAGCAGGCACAGCACGAGGCGCAGCTACAGCAGCAGCAGCAACAACAACAATTGTTCGCGCAGGGGCTTGCGCACGTGCAATTCCTCCAGGGGGAGCCACAGTTCATCGTTGCCTCCTCGACTGGGGAGCCAGTTGCGGTGTACATGGCCTGTCCTGCCCCCACCGCAGCGATGCTATCTACAGCGGCAACGGAGCCCGCGATGGGGCTATCTGCGGCGGCACATGCGGATAGCTCCGCGGCTGCAGCAGCGGCACAGCAGCAGCAGCAGGGCTCGATGGGAGGGGCTGTGCAGCCGCTTAACCCTGCTCCCATCGTCGCCCCTAGTCCGGCGGCTGCTCAGGGAAGCACGCAATGCAGTGACACAGCGGGACAGTCTGGTTGGGATTCAGGCAGCGCGTCATCGGTCCGGAGCGAGCCGTCTACAGCGGTGGCGGCCCCACTTGTAGAGCGACCCATGGGGCCCCAACACCGCGTCCAGAGCCAGGGCAACATGCTTGCGGGCTCGCATATAGGCGGGGGAGGCGGCGGGCAGATAGGGGCTCCAAGGGAAGGCGGCGCTGGTGGCGGCAGCGGGCGTACATCCTCTTACAGAGGGCGCACCAGCTTCAGCGGAATGGGGGGTTCGTCCAACGGGCCTACCGGTGGCTCTGGCAGCGGCACCGGTGTCAATGCAGCCGTCAGCCAGCAATCGGCTATGATGCAGGGAGGCGGTGCGTATGGGAATCGGCAGTACGGCGGCCCGGCAGGAGGCTCGCGGCATGGCGGCGGCGGTGGCCATGGCTATCCCCGAGGCGGCGGCGGCAGCCGGTACGATGGTGGTTCTGCTGACAGCAGCCGGCCATCTTCTCGGGGCCCGCATGGAGGCAGCGGCGGGGGCGGGGGCGGGCACATGCGCCATTCACACCCCGCGGACCCTGTGCCGCCGCCCGATGCGCTGCCCTTGCCGGACCCCAAGGGCTCCTGTGATCTGGACCGCTTCATCTCACAGATTGAGCCCGTCATCGCCATCGACCCAGCCAAGCCGCCGCAGCAAGCACTGCAGGAGCTGCGGCTCCGTGATCTGTGGAACTTCTACTTTGAGCCGAGTCTGTACGGAAGGTGCGCCCAACCATGGTCTTGAGGCCTTGCCCTGGTATTGCTGTTATGGCGTAAAGCAACGTCGTGCAAAGTGCAGCGTACGTGACATTGACGTACGTCACAGCCCTCCTTCTTGGCTGCCGCTGTTTTTTTTTGCCTGTTTAAGCCATGGGTACCTTCCTTAAGAGTCCAGGACCGTGTAAAGCGCACGGGGATCAATTGAACGGCCGGGACCCAAATTGAGTGACCTGGCTCATGTCTCTTCGCTTGCTCTCTCTCTTCCCCCTTTCCCCCTGGCCCCTGGCCCCTGACTCCTTTTCCTGGTTTCTGATACGCGACGAAAAACGTGGTGGTCAACGCCTTGAACGCAGGGAGGTCTTCACGCTGGGTGGCCACCGCGGTGCCTCGAACTCGTACTTTGTGCCGTACCTCTCGGCCATTCAGATCTTCACGCGGGCTCAGCCCTCCGACGTTGGAGGCACCAACCGACTGTACGTCTCGGAGGACAACCAGGGCTGGCCAAAGCACATGCACCTCAAGTTTGAATACTTTGAACAGGAGTTACCCTTCAACCGCCTGCCGCTATACGACCAGATCGAGCTTCTGTCCAGTACGATGACGGCCGGAAAATCCACGGGACCTGGATGTGGACCAGCAGGAGCTTCGGCGGCTGGAAGCCGACCGGCAGCACCGGCGACGGCGACAGCGGCTACGCCTGCGCCTGCACCGCCGCCGCCGCCGTTGGCGCCTTCCGCAGCTGCCAAGGAGGCTGATTCGCCGGTGACTACGGACGAGTCTACGGCCCTGCAGACGTCAGCCGCCAGCGGAGGTATGGCTGAGGTCGAAGTCGGCGAGGCTGATGACCCTGCCGGGGTGGCGAGAGCCGCAGCTCAGGGAGGCGGCGCGGTGGAGGCGGTGCGAGCGCCAAGCGGTGATGGCAGCCCGTCAGCGGCGGCGCCATCGTCACCGTTGGGAGCTGCATCTTTGACGAAGAGTGTAGATCCGGAGGAGGGTCCGATGGCCTCGGGCGACGCGGCCGTCGCGACTGCTACGCAACCGAACCCGGCAGGGCCCGGTGCTGATCAACCCGTCGCTGCCGGGCAGCAGAAGCTCCCGCAGCCAGTGCCGCCAGCAGCGCCGCCTCAGCCGGCGGCGGCGGCTGGTGCTGGTGGTGGCGGTGGTGCGGCGGCCGCGGCGCCTGAGGCTGAGGCGGCTGGTGGCAACAGCTCTGGTACGGGGCTGCTCTACGACATGCGGTTGCTGGACGTGCACCCCGCCAGCTGGTTCGCGGTGGCGTGGTACCCAGTCTACCGCATTCCCGACGCGCCCCTGTATGCGCGCTTCCTGACCTTCCACTCGTTTGCGCCGCTGGTGGAGTCAATGCGGAACGTGCACGAGCGGCTGGCCATGGGCCAGGTCGCCCCTTACTACCTGCTCTCTTTACCGGTGGGAACTAAGCACGGGATGGGGAAAATCATAGTATTTGGTTTCGGAGCATCTTGGGTGTAGACACTCGAAACGGTGCACGGGCACGCTGGTGGAGATGTGGATGAGGTGGGCCCGGAAGGCAGGGCCGGGCTGGCGGGCGGTCCGTGCATGGGCGAAGGACTAAGGGCTGCTGTCCTAGGGCTGTAGGTATAAGGAACCGAGCCATGGCCTTTTGCCTGCAAGAGCGAATCTTCATTAAAAAAGGGGGGAGGACATATAGGCTGGGGCAGAGGTCGGGACAGCCCGCTTGGGCTCCAAGGGGGCTGCAAGGGGGCTGCAAGGCCCCCTGACAACCAACCGGGGGACAACCAACGAAAGGGGCTATGCAGGGGGAAGAGGGGGAGGAACCGACTGTACTGCTTCCCGAGCGCCCAAAACGTCAGCACCGCATTGTGTGACGCTTATTGTGACAGATATTTGTCGACTGCATGCTGTTGCCGATATGCTGTGTGCGGCACTGATGCTGTGTGCGGCACTGATGCTGTGTGCGGCACTGATGCTGTGTGCGGCACTGATGCTGTGTGCGGCACTGATGCTGTGTGCGGCACTGATGCTGTGTGCGGCACTGATGCTGTGTGCGGCACTGATGCTGTGTGCGGCACTGATGCTTGGGGGGGCTTTATCCGGCCCTCCCCTGTCAACTTTCATGGCCTATGTCCGGGCTGATGTGCTTTTTCGCCGCCACCGCGTTTTCGCTTCCGCCTCGCCATGAAGGGCGGGCCTAGACAACGCGTTGCTTCCCCCCGTCTCCTCCTCTCCTTTTACCGCTGCCCGTCCGCTGCCCTGTACAGGTGGTTGGGTTGAACTGGTACAACATGCAGGGAGAGCGCTGGATGGAGCCCCTAGATGAGTCGGCGGTGGCGCGGGCGCATAATGGCGCGGCGCAGCCGCCCCCCCTCGCGGCTTCGGCGCCTGCAGCCTCGGTGAACTCTCCCCGCGGGCCACACCACTACCATCAGCACCACCGCGGCGGCGGCGGGGGGGGCCGGGTTACCGGCACGGACGTCTGGTATCAGCAATTGCTGCAGGCCTACCAGGTGAGTGTTTGTTGTGCGGCAAAGCGCGTGCGAGCTGAGGATCGACCCGCCGACGCCGTGAGTCACGGCGTTGGCTTAGCATGACATGGCATGACATAGCTCCAGTCTTGCTACAGCAAGACACTGTTTCTGCAACTGTGTGGAGTTCTGCGCTCCATTTGCCCTTTCATCAGCACCCTCATCAAAAGTTTATCTGTGCGGAACATTGATAGACGGTGTTTGGGATATTACTTCGTCCCCACCACACCGTTGTGTATCTGTAAAGTCTTCAAATGCTCTGCAGGTGTTAACTCCTTACTGCTGCACCGCTCTCCTCCGCTCGCCTATCCGGACTTTTCAACGCAGTGTGTTTCCCCTCTGATCGCCCTGATCGCCCTAGCCGTTGATCTTTTCCCGTTGATGGCTCATTACTCATATGACGACATTGGTCTCGTTTTGGCTCGGCTCCATTTCCCAACCCCTCCCTCGATGCCCTCTGCAGGCGACTGCTGACCGGCTGGCCCGAGGCCTGGGGCTGAAGGTGCTGGGGCAGCATGGGGCCGAGGAGGTGCGCCTGCGGGTGCCTGATTACGAATTCTTCAGGGCCCGGTCTTGACGGACCGACCGACCGACCGATCGAACGGTTAAGGAGGCGGGATGGGAAACACCATGAGCCGCGCTAGGGAGCTACAGGCACTTTGCGGCAGCTGCCGGGCAACATCTGTGCGAGCGACGTTTGTGGGACTGAGACTTTCCGCGCTTTCCTTCCTTCACGGGTGCCGCGGATAACGCGCAGCTAGACCTACCACGGAGAGAGAGGCAGGGACGGGGGGAAGGAGGGCCGGTCCCCGCGGAGGAGCGCCTACCTGGGGTTATTAAGGGGCCTGGGTTGGCCATTAGCCAATACGCGACAAGCTGCCGTGCGGCGGCGGCGAGGTCAACCGTGTTGGCACTTCTAACCTGTTCAGGAGGTGTATCAGGGGATACTAGCTAGATATAGCTCTTGGGGCTGGTACGCCCTCGAAGTCCTCGAACCCTTGGGGGCTGTGGCATGCGGGGCGTAATCCTTGCGAGTCTGTGGAGGCTAAGGTGAATGGCGCTAAGGTGTGAGGTGTCCGTGGGATACCTCCTCTGTTGCAGCAGGTCAGCAGCAGCAGCAACCCGCGTCGTGTCCTTAAGGAAACGCAGGGGCCCGGTTCCGTGAAATCTTATGAGGTCTACTCATCTACGCACCTACGTAATCCAGATCAAGCGGGCCGCGGCATCTCCTCGTCGTGTTGTGCTGCCGCTTCCCTGGAAAGGTGGGTGCGCATGTGTCTCCCAGCCGCCGTTGCGCAGCCGCTTGTTAATGTGCGCGCCGTAGTTCCATTGTTTCGTGTCGTTCGGAGCGCTTGTGTTTGTGTTTGTGTGTGTGTGTGTGTGTATATGTGCACATATGAGACGGAGAAGACAGTACACAGTACAGTACAGAAGGGGTATGTCTCTGATGGTGAATTGGCCAAAGATTGCAGAGCATGGCGAAGACATGGGGAAAGGAGGTGTGCCAAAGACCTGGTGGAGCAGAGCTTTGGTATAATAAGAATTACTAAATATAATGATGCGATGCGTGAGTGGCGATACGTCTCGGGGGAGTTGTTCGTCGAAGTTTTTTGGGAGCCAGGCCAGGGAAGGGGGGAGGAGGGGAAACACGGCTGTTTGACAGCTGTTTGTCAGATGGGGCGGTGCGCTTCAGCAGGGCATTGGGGTCACGGCGGTCATGAAAGTGTTCATGAAAGTGCTCTTTTTTGCAGATATGGCTTTGTGTTTGTGGCTTTCTGTGACGCTCTCTCCCTCTCCGGGGTATCCTACCGAGGTACTCTACGCTCCCTCCGAAGCGGGATCCCCCAGCTCCCCCAGCCCGGCTTTGACGTGCCAGAGGACGGACGACGCGGGAGGTATGGGAAGGCCGCATTTGGCCGCCATTTATTAAAACAGATAAAGCCCAGGCGCGCACATCAGAAAAAATATATATACAGGGAGGGGGAACTAGGTCCGGGGCACAGGCGAGAAGGGTGTAAGATGCTAAGCGCCAGGTAGGGGTCTGTATGCCCCTTTTGCGTTTTGCATCTGACGACGGCCCCCTTTTGGTGTGTGTGCTGCAAAGTGTGAGGTAGCAGGATCTGGATCTGCCAACCGCCAGACTGCTGGGCAGCAACTGCTTATCCGGGCAATGCGCGAGGGCAGCGTGGGGCGTAGCGTAGCTTGTAGGCCCAAGGGAGGTGGTGGTGGTGGTGGTGGTGGTGAGGTTCCGTTTTTAAGCCTACAGGATGGGCACTGCTGCCTATGTTGGTAACGTGCTGGTAGCAGTGGCGGCGGATGGCGTCCATGGCGCCATCAAGTTGCAGATGAGGCAACGCGGTAGGTTGGTGGGTATCGGCGCTGTGGGTAAGGCGGGCTCGACGGGCGGGCTGGTTTGTGTTTAGTTGCGCTGTCGCGATGCTAGAGGGCCCTAGCAGCAGGCTTGCGTGGCGGTGGTTTGGTGGTTTGGTGGTTTGGCTGGCTCGGAGACGCGATGGGCATGGGGCACGAGGCTGCCGTGTGGTGGGGCATCTGCAGGTTGCGCCACGCTTGGACACTCTCGCCACAACCGATCAAGGTCGCGTCCTGAGTGTGCTGTGCGCGCGCGCGCCGTGTGTGTTGTTCTGCCATAAGATGATGGTCGCATGGGCTGGCGCCTCTCGCCATGAGAGAAGAGCAAGGTGCGCACACTTGCCATACAAACACATAAAAAGTATTTTAAAGGACAAAAAAGATTCAAATTCACATGAGAAGACGCGCGTTGTTTGCATTTCTATAGTCGCTGCGTTTTCTCACGTAGCAGAGTTGTGTGATGGGGCGTGTGTGTATGTATGTATGTATGCAAGTATGTGCTTGTTGAGACCCGGTGCGGCTTGCGTGGGTAGAGCACTCGACCTGATTGATACCGCCATCAGTTTTGTGCCTGCCCCGCAGAGGGAGGGTGTGCCGCAATCGCCCTCGTGAGAAATTCGGCTCATGGATGTTGGCTGATGACGACTGCAGCGATCCTGCAGCGTCTGCGTCGTCATAATGTTTTAGGCGTGATGACGTTGGTGATGAATCTTTTCCCTTTGAGAAAAGCGTTTGTGCAATGTGTATGCGTTTGTCAGGCACGCGTGGAGGATTTCCAAACCAACATTTTGTTCCCGGCCGCTTTTCCCGCCGCCGCTGAGCTCTTTCGACTTGACGCTATTTTACCTTTCTTTACCGGCAGCACCCGCATCTGGAAATGGTTTTGTGCGTGTATGCGTGTGTTTGCGATGGTGTTTTTTCTGTGTTTGCGTTGGTGCTGAGCTTAATGCGTATAGTAGTAGTATTAGTACGAGTACCAGCAGTGCCACATAGTGTTTCGCCTCCTTGACTATTGTTAGCTGCGTCCCGTCGAAGGAAGAGAAGGGATGTGCCTTGGGGTATGTCGACTACTACTGACGAAACGTGGGGGAGGCCCAGGCTTGATACAGTACTAGAGCTTTCCCTCGTGCCCGAGGCATTGATCCAACCCGCTGGGGAGGGAGGGGGGGGGAAAAAGGGGGGAAGGCAAGGTGCTAAGGCTTTCCCTCATCGCAGAGACTCAATATCGCTTCGTTCCTTTAGTTACTAACTTAACGACGATGATGGTGGATGCTGATGCTATAGTGGGTACGGCTGATGCATAAACGAGTTGGCCGCGTCGTAGGCGCTTGTGGGCAAACCCCGAGAGACAAAAAGGGCCTACGTGCGCGCGTGACGCGCTGTGCTAGGAGAAGGGAGAGAGCACGGGCGCAGCGCGGTAAGTAACGGGGCGGGGGGGGGGAAGGCACGACACGTGTGTTTTGCTCCTGGCACCAAGGAAGCGAGAGATGGAGCTGCTCGGCGAGCGTCGTCTGCCCGCGCCGGTGTTCGTGAGACACATGCATATACTTATTTGCGCGCAGGAGGGGGCTGGGTCTTGGCCGGGTGGCCGTGTAGACGGGGGCCTCGTCGCACAGTGTCGCTGTGTTTGTGGGTATGTCGGTGTGGGTGTGGGTGTGTGGGGGTAAATTGACACCGACGCTGCGTTGCACTCCCGAACCCCCCGGACGTTATTGCCTGCTCCTGAAAGAGGGCGCGGGCTTTATAGGGAGTTCGGATGGGGCTTCATGTGTGTTGAGAGGAAAAGGGGCTGCTGTTTGTGAGGTCGTTCTATGACTATGCAGACCATGCGTTTTGTAATTGTTGAACAAATCCAAAGCGTGCTATGTGCTTCATGTAGTGCAAGAAGTCTTTGCGCGGGCTCCGCGGCATGTACATATCCCGCGGCTCCTGCAGTTAGGTGCCTGTGGTATGTTTGAATAATGCATGGACATATGCCAAGTCCCCGTCCAGCCCATGTCGAGCATCTTTTCCCACTCCAGGTTTCTCATGAAACGGCTACACAATAAAACACAGATAGTTGAGTTGGGTACGCGGCTTACAAGCTGCCTTTTGTTTGCAGGAACGCATTTAGAAAGGCAGCAGGCTTGGAGCGCATAATGAACGGTCAATCCGATAGTCACATCGACCCGTCACGGTTTTTTGGTAAAAAGCTTGATGATCTTGTACGGTTCAAAGGAAAGCTAATGAGCCGCCCAGCGCGAAACAGGAATCATGAATGGTGCCGGAATTATGAATGGTACCGGTATAGATGTATAACAGTGACAGTTACATCAACCGTACCATGTGAATGGTCAAACCCCGATTTGTTATGTAGACATCAATATTCAACGTTGCACGCATCCTTCATAGCATAATTTGGATTGACCGGAAGCTTGGCAGCCAGCCGGAGGCCGGGGCTTCCCGGACCTCCGAGCTGGCGTCTGTAAATAATACAATCATGACGGAAGCAATAGATTTAGCGGAGCAGGTACGGCTAAAATTCTTTGATTTACGACTCCAGCTGTTTTGCACAATCACATCTGGATTCCCGTTTCAGGCGCTATCAGCAAAGGAGCAAGGAATAGCTGAGATCTTAAGGCTTCTTCAGCACCCCGAGGATCTCAGTCGCCTGGCGGACATTACAGCTGAATATGAGTCACGCCATCGAACTGCGAAGGCGACCCTGAGTGCCATGGTTCAGTCACAGGTGGGTCGGGGCCTTGCACGAAAATCTAACGGGGAACGCAGTAACGATAGACGTAATAAAAAGCTTGAGATTCAAACTTAAGTGTTACAGCGCCACACGGTACCGCTTTCCCGTTGAATTCGTGACCTGAAGGCTTACCTCATGTTAGGATGCACAGCCCAGGCTTGTGTGTATACATGCACGTGCACACACACACACACACACACACACACACGCACACACATACACGCTGCCTCCGGCGAGCTGCTTCCCCTCCATCCCCTTTCCCGCCGCAGGTGGAGGCCACGCGTATGGGGATGGACCTACTAGAGCGAGCTCACCGCCATATCGTAAAGCTGCAGGCGGCTCTGGAGCGGATCGACAAGTAGGTGCCGCTCCGGAACCGGAACCGGAAGCGGATGCCCACCCCGAGTGGGCAAAGCAATGGGTGTATTAGCTATCGCGCTTGTGTTCGCAAGTTTATTTGGCCTTCCTTTTATTCGAATGGGTGGTGGGAAATTCCTTATCCTCACTGAAATGCTGGCGGGACTGGGGGGAAGCGGGTGCGGGGTCGGGGGGGGGGGAGGAAGGGATGCGGCAATATGTGCGAGGCCGGAGGGAAAACCAAAAGCCAACATCCGACGTTCAAAGACCGCGACAACC